GGGGGGGGGGGGGGAATAAAAATTCCACCAGCCATGCGGCACGGCCCAAAAAACAACAAAGACAAACAGCCGCCTGAGTTTCCAGTCTGCTGGCCCAACTGCCCTACAGATTTTAGACTTGCCAGCCTCCACAATCACATAAGTCTATTCCGTAAAATGAATCACGTGTGGGCACACACACTCATCCCACTGATCTGTTTTTCCCTGGAGAACCCTAACACACAACCTTTATATCCATTCCCTCCTTACATAAGTTTATGCTTTTTTTTCCCTATGAGATGCGTTCATGATATACCAAGAAGTTTGCATCTCAACTTTTTCCTACGTAATAGCATATCATGGACATCTTCCCAGGTCAGCAGGCTGAGACGTAACTCATTCTTCTCATGAGCCATGTGATAAGCCATTGTATAGATGATTATTTCAGCAAGGGACATACAGACATAGGGAGTTTCCAGTTTTTTTGCTCTTGGTTACATGATTCGCATCAAGCTTTCAAGAAACAGATTTATCCATGCCTTTGTCTTATATTCCCATGCTTTGCTGCAGGCTGGAGTTACTTGTAATCTATCAAAACTTTACCATCAGAGTTTCTCAGCTGTCCATTTAAAATTAAATAGCCTGGGACTTCCCCGGGGGTGCAGTGGTTAAGAATCCGCCTGCCAACGCAGGGGACACGGGTTCAATCCTTGGTCCGGGAAGATCCCACATGCCGTGGAGCAACTAAGCCCGTGCACCACAACTACTGAGCCTGTGCTCTACAGCCCTCGAGCCACAACTACTGAGCCCGCGTGCCACAACTACTGAAGCCCACACACCTAGAGTCCATGCTCCGCAACAAGAGAAGCCACCGCAGTGAGAAGCCCGCGCACCTCAATGAAGAGTAGCCCCCGCTCGCCGCAACTAGAGAAAGCCCATGCGCAGCAGCAAAGACCCAACATGCCCCCCCCCCGCCAAAAAAGTAGCCTGGATTTCATGCCCAGTGCTTCTAACAGGTGCCCTGATCCAGTGGGACATGAGTTCTCCAGGCATTTAAGGCTCCCTCTTTTTGCCAATATCTGTTTCTTCAATAGACCACTGTGTTTAACTCAAATATTAAGACAGGCACCTTGAAAACATTTTCAAAGTAAAAAAGTAATGAACCAGGTTTGCATTTCATTCACTGGCCATTTTATACCAACCAGAGGTGTCTCTGCCTGGCCCACAGTTAACCAAGGATCCCGGCTCCGCCTCTAGCCAACACCAGATGCTAGAAGAAGGACTGAGGGATCCTGAAATTTCAAGGCACTGATGGCGCACCCACCACTCGAGTTCTGAATCTCCAGGGTGCCTCGCCCAGCAAGCCCACGCACCGAATTCACTGGCCTCTACTGAGGTGCAGTGTTTCACAGACTGGGAGGCCACACAGGTCTCCAGGCAATTAGTAAGATGATCCCAACAACTTCTCTACGCAGAGAGAAATGTCTGTGGCCACCTTCACGAATGCTATCTCTACGCCAGCCTTCTAGACGCTTTGCCGCTTACCTTTGTTTAAACGTTTCTATTCATCTGAAATAACCACGGAGCATTCTTTATTATTATATATTACTCCAGTTTATTAAATACTGAAACGAGTTTATGCCACATATTCCAACAATGTTTATATAAAGAGCTCAAAATATAAAGGCTTATGAAAACTTTTATAGTCTTTGTATCATATACACTATTTCTAGCACATGAATAAATACGGAGAAAAGAAGCCATTTTTTTATATAACGATCAGCCAACACTTAGCATCAATGATTACACAAACCCACAAGCAAACAAAAAAATCCACTTTCGTCATTTTGGTTTTCAAAGCTAAAAATCCCTTTGCCACATTTAGCAATACCCAAGGGGATGGAAGACTTGTAGTCACGGCCCTGGAAACAAGGGGACCAAGTCTCCCAGTTCTTCAAGTTTTTCTCTTGGTTAGAAGCTTCAACAACTGCATTACTCTTTCAAGAAGCAGAAAAAAAATCAAAACAAGTTAAGACTCTGTTCTATAAGGTATTTAATAAATCTGTACTGAAGAAATACTATATTTTCATTTTAAATACATGCTTACTGGGCTTCCCTGGTGGTGCAGTGGTTAAGAATCCGCCTGCCAATGCAGGGGACACGGGTTCGAGCCCTAGTCCGGGAAGATCCCACATGCCGTGGAGCAACTAAGCCCATGCGCCACAACTACTGAGCCTGAGCTCTAGAGCACGCTAGCCACAACTACTGAGCCCGCGTGCCACAACTACTAAAGCCCGCGCACCTAGAGCCCGTGCTCCACAACAAGAGAAGCCACTGCAATGAAAAGCCCGAGCACCGCAATGAACAGTAGGTCCCGCTCACCACAACTAGAGAAAGCCCGCGCGCAGCAACGAGGACTCAACACAGCCAAAAGTAAATAAATACAATTAATAAATTTATAAAAAAAAAAACCACACACTTACCTTTTACAGTGAGGTTTGGCTTTCCTTTCATCCTGGTATAAACATGTACATTTTTGAATAAACTGATATAATGAATATTGCATGACATTCAATCTTTACATGGTCTTCAAAATGAACTTGCTTCTACTGTTTTAGGAATTATATGTACACTTAACATGTTTTCTACGTTAAAAAAAAGAACAAAAAAGTGGCTCATAAAAAGTCATCCTTTAAACTCAAGGAACTCAAAAGTGAAAAGGGCTTTCTATAGAAAGCCCTTACCATATCAATGGAAGGTTTTAGTAAGAAGAAAAATAATCTGCTCTCTGAAGATATGGTTCAGTACGAGGGGCGAGGCCTGAACGGGCTCAGCTCTCCAGAGTCATGTCCAGAACTGGTCAGGGAGAACTGGGCTTCCATCTGAGCCTTGAAGCAATCAACACCTAACTGCCCTTCCGACCTCCTCCTTTCTTGACTTAGCTCTTACTTCTGGAACTAAAATTCTGCTTCACAAAATCTTTTTCAAAGAAGGCAAGGTCAAGGTGACTGGGAGCAAAACTGCCCAATCCCCAAGAAAAACATGCGTGCCTTCCATTCTGCTTCAAGGGAGGAAGCAGCCCAGGGGCTGGACCCACTGGGAACCTGCATATACTGCAGAGGTGTCTGTCCTGGAGGCCACAGTGAGTATGTATTTAATGTTACTCTCAAAGAGTAGAACCGAAGGTACCCAAGTAAATATTCAATATCGTCCCTTTCCTGGGGCTGTCTTCTAGAAGGGTAAAGGTCGTGGGGCTCTGAGAATCACCTTTTATTTTGAAAAGAATATGATGAAGATGAAAAAGAAGAATGATATCCTGTCTTTAGAAGAAAAGAAGGAAGACATTATATACCTCTTATCAGACTCCAGATAAACAGGCACACACACAAAAAATCACCTTTCGAATTTCAAGCAAGTATTTTCATTCCAAACTGATTAGGAAGTCCAAGACAGGAAGTATTTTGACAAATGTGACCAGAACTAAAGTAAAACCCGGGAAATCTGGAAAAATCAACTCTGATTCACTTGCAACATTTTGCTACAGAAAATGTAATAAAACCTTAACCTCTTTCTTTCACAAGGCTTTTAACAAAGGATCTCACTCAGGAGAAGCCCATGATAAAATGACTCTCTTCCATCCACACGGACCATTTATTCTGGGATGATGGCTGTATGACAGCATGATGTAAACACACTAATCCTACAAGTCAAGTAGTAGCAGCTACTATCTCCTTCACCTGACCCTCAATATCAATAGATGTTATTATCCCCATTTTACAGATTGGGAAATAGAAACTTTGCTAAAATCACAGAGCAAATTACAAACATTACTTAAGACAGAACCCAAGTAGATTAAAAACACCTCCCACCAGCACAGACTTTGCCACCTTCCAAGCCAACCTATCACACCATCATGAGTTTAGATATTAATGCTTTGTAACAATTCCTCACAAAGGTCGAGTGGTCAAAGGCTTAAAAATCACTTATTATAAGTGAAAGATCCTGCCAAAATTGGAAATTAGAAAGCAGTGCAATATTCCAGGGATCTATATCCTGCACTGTTTATACCTGGGGTATACCAGGTCTCCATGTGTGAATTTCTTCAGCAGACACGAAGCCAAAGCCCCCCCAGAAGTTCAGGAACAATAACACCCTCTTGGAGGCTCTATTCATTCCATGGTTCCGAAGAGCTTCTTTCGAACAGTCTGGGAGTCTCAGCTATGAGCTGAGATGCATCAGGAGTTATTCTCCCCTGAGGGAATCAGTCCACAGTTCCTGATCTTTGCGCAAGTTTTCTTTAGCAAGAAACATGCATTTCATGTTATCTTTGAGGTCGAAGGGCACTTGAATGGTAAGGACTAGTGTCTGGATGTTACAGTCTATGCCATTAAACATCTGGTGCAGAGTGTCCGATGCCAGGACACAGCAATCCGAGCTAACCCAGTCTTCACCTGTTGCTCACACCTCAGAATCTCTGGCGGGCCAAGCAGTGAGAAGCAGTGGGAAAGACAGGAAGCTTCGCTATTTCAGACGTGAGCATTTTCAGCGCATGCAGTCTTGACTTGTCACAAATCCAATTTCTTCAACTGCTCGTATGTCACAAAGAACTGCAGGTATTAGTTAAGGCTGACATTTTATGCCATCTTAACCCTAACGCATCAAAACAGACCCACAAATAGCACACCTCCTAACAAAGATTTCTGGGCAGACCACATGTCGTGGACATGATTAAACGTGAGGGGCTCCACCCTCAACCACCCCAACAGATCTCCCCATTAACCTTCCCAAGGTCAGCTTGGAAGAGACAGACCACAGCTGAGACACATAAATCCCCTGCATCAGCTCCAAAGGCTTCTAAGATTACATCCACACTGCTAGCTTTTCTGACTTTTGGGAAGACTTCACAGAACAGTAAATTCTGTGAGAAAGAGAAAGAGAGCAACCCTGGGGAGCTCTCCGCCGGGGCTGCCGGTAGGCAAGCTTGCCTGGGAGGGAGGAGCAGATAAACAAGGATGGTGCAAACTGACATCCCCTGCTTTATAATTCTGTCCTTTCATTTCTAATAAACTGTCTCTTCCTTCCTGCCTCCCACTTTGGCATAGAGGGAAAAGTGCTAATCAGCCAAATAATTCTGGAGCTAATCCCTGTCTATCCTTAGGCACTCTCTGAAATAAGCATTCTAGAACACGGCTGCCAGACCACATCCTTCCCAAGGGTGGCGAGGGATTGAAAAAATAAACAAATAAATAAATCCTTGTCTCTCCCTCTCTTGGAAATCATAAACACTCTCAGCTCCTAGAGCAGAGTCTAAAGAAAAGATTTTATTGCTACCATTGCCTTTCAATAACACCACCAACCATTAAACCAAGTTTCACAGTGCCTAGCAGAGACTTTATACCTCCTGAAAAAGAAACTGAATAATTATTTCTTGAATCAGAGGAACTTAACAGAATAAGAACCTACTTCTAAATTATGATTAATAACATGACAGTTTATATAAACAACATTCTTCAGCTGTATCTTTTTTCAGATCTACTGCAACAGAAAAGGATACAATAATATTCCAAGGACCAAGTCTCAACCAATTTGGCCAAAACCCTTTATATAGAGCAAAAAACCCTTCATTCTTCCATGTCTGTTATAAGGGAGGGGGAAAAAAAGTTAACGTCCAACTTTCCAATTATGTCAAATATGCATTAATAATTAGTAGCCAGACTGAACTGATATATTTTTCTTAAAAACAAAATTCTATTTGGAAGGACTATCTAAGAAATCATTGCCCTCTGCCTCTTTTCGTTCTTTAAAGGTTTCTGCATAGGTGAAGACTAAGGCTCTGTACCAAACTATCCCACACCCAAAGCAAACAGCAGTTGGATGAATAAGAAATGAGATTTAATTCCAACTAGAGTCTTCTGCCTCCTTGCCATGTGGGCTTACAGCAGGTCAGAAATTTAAAAAGGAGGCAATGGCAGTAAAGACATAATTCAGAGTACCACTATTTCATGTTGTTGGGTAGATAACATTAAGTATCTTTGCTTCATTAAAGCAATATTTGAAGTCTAGGGATGTGCCAGCATCATGCCGGTAAACAGCAACCACAAAAGTGGTCCCTCATCTTTGGCTGCTGGTAATCCAGCAGAGGAGACAGTCACAAACTTTCATCTACTCAGGAACAGTAGGCCCAATTATTTAAACTGAGAACTAAGGTAAGATTCATGTGTTCCTTTGAGAGATGTCTGAATGAAGGATGTTCATTCCAGTTTGACTCAACAGGAAGGTGATATATTCTGGAAGGAGACACAGTTCTACTACAATCACAGGATATATGACTATTTTCTCACGCTTCACAGCAGAGCAGAGATATAAGAAAAATGAACTTTCATTTCTAAATATTCATTTAGATTTTGTATTTAAAAAACTAGCCCCTGTGTGGCAAAAACTCTGTACCATCTCAACACTTTAGAGCATCACTCACCTTAGTTATATTAGCCCTCAAAATTCAGATACTCCTTTGGTTAAATAAATATAAATACAAATGTATATTTGGGGGGCTGTTTCACGGATTGAAGCAATCCACTAGAATGTTGAAGACTAACTTAAATAAATGTGCTTACTTCACCAGTGTCCCTTACTATACTAACAAGGTTTTATTATTATGTCTACATTTATTATTATAAATGTACATGATGTTTCTACCTAACATTATTCCAGGCACTGTGCTATTTTGTAGGTATGATCTCAATGATTTTTATAATAATCCTGTGATGTAGGTGCTATTATTTATTGTCCCATTTCACTTGTGAGGAATCCAAGGTGTACAGAGTCTGTACCTTGACTGAAGTCATGCGATTACAAATGACAGAATCACAGGTTCGTCAGGCTCTAAACCCTTGTGTTTTTAAATCCTGAAAAGAAACTCTTCAGAAGGCAACATGGAAGCCAATGAGCCACGAAAGGCATTCACAACAGCATACAGATGGACATCCCCACTCACCTGTAACAAGCAATCCAGGGAACCTGTGTAGCCAGGGCATCTGCCATCTCGAAGGACTCTCTGATTCATCATACGTGTTCTCACCACATCGACAGGGTTTGAGGCCAGGGCCCCCGCCAGCCCACAGGTGAAGCTTGAGCTATAAGGAAGAGACGATTTGAAAAATAAAAAGTTTAATACCCCTGAGCTGCAGCCCCTACTATCAAGGGCAGGAAACAGCCTCCTCCCAAACTAGGTTAAAGTAACAGGTAACAAGATGGAATATATGAGAATGAGGCCCTTATCTCAAGAGCTGCACAGACTTCTTAAACACCAGCATTGTTTGTACTGGCTTATAAATTCCAGCCTCAGCTAAGAATACTTTTGAGGTTCTGGAATGTCAACGAATCATAGGAACAGGAAGGAATGTCCTCCAAGGATGATCTATTTTATCTATCTATTCACCTACAAATAGGCATCAGAGTAATTTTAGCCATCTCATAACTACATTGCTCTTAGAGATCAGAGAAAAAGATTTCCTCACTGTAATGTGATGCCCACCAGGGCCCTGGGTTCTACTAAACTTTCAGTCACAAGACTACCATAGACCAGCCCTGGTATCAACTAACTCAGAGTAGGGTTTCACAACTTTAGCACTACTAACATTTTGGAACAGATAATTCTTTGTTGTGGATGTCTGTCCTGTGCATTGTAAGATGTTTAGCAGCTCGCTGGCCTCTACCCAGTAGATGTCATTAGCACATAAGAATCAGAACAGTCTCCAAAACCGCCAAATGTCATAGAAACAGAGAGTCAAAAGGTGGTTGCCAGAGCTTGGGGTTGGGAAGAAGTTGGTAAAAGTACAAAAATTTCAGTTATGAGATGAATAAGGTCTGAGGATCTAATGTATAACATGGTGATTATGGTCGACAACACAGGATTATATGTAATTTAAATTTGCTACGAGAGTAGAATTTAAACGTCTTCACACAGACATAAAATGATGGATGTGCTAATTAACTCGATGAGGGTAATCATTTCATAATGCATATGTCTATCTAACCATATTGTGCACTTTAAGTATCTTACAATTCTACTTGCCAGTTATACCTCAATAAAGCAGAAAAATAAAAAAATATAAAAATAAAAAGCAAGCAAGAGAATGCCAAGCACGATCGTAGCTGTATAATAAAGCACATGTAATATACTTTTGTAAACATATTTGCATATGCATAGAAAACACCGGAAGGTACATATCAAACAGTTAACAATGGCTACCTATGTAAAGGGGTAAGGACATACTCTTTCCTGGTTTACTTCTGTTATCATAATTTTTCAAATGAGAATATAATACTTTTATAATAAACTTTCTTCAAAATGTCTATAAATTTGCAGCAAATTTCTACCCTAAGCTCATGCATGCCTAAAATATTAATTTTTTAAAAATCCATAAACATACAGGAAATGGGTATACACAGTGTCTCCCATCAAGCCCGAGAGAATCAGATGCTTCTTGGTGAGGTCGTAGACCGGCAGCTCCACACCAACAACAATAGCGGCCCTCTGAGCAGTAAGGGACACGCCCTGGGTAAAAATATCAATAATAACAAGTCAGATATGTCTCCCCTACAAACTATGGCCAATTTTTACGTTTTCCTGCTGGTAGGTAGAAATGTAGAGTGAAAGAGTAGAAAAATCCAGATGGTAAGAAGTCAGAAGCCCCCAAGTCTAATTCTGATTCTGGCACTAACTGTACGACCTTGACCAGGACGAGTCACCTCTCAGAGCTTCCGGTTTCCTTGTATGTATGGAGAGGATCGGACTAGATGACCTTTAGGGTCTAATCTATGAGATGACAGTCCCTAGAATACCAGCGCTTGCCTAACAGTCTTCACTTAAGAGCCATGAAACTATACAGATCAAAAAATCCAATGTAACTACAACCTCTTCTCCATAAGAACTTAGGGGGGAAAAAAGCAAACAACAACAAAAAAGTATTCAGGGGCTTCCCTGGTGGTGCAGTGGTTGAGAGTCCGCCTGCCAATGCAGGGGACACGGGTTCGTGATCCGGTCTGGGAAGATCCCACATGCCGCGGAGCGGCTGGGCCCGTGAGCCGTGGCCGCTGAGCCTGCGCGTCCGGAGCCTGTGCTCCGCAACGGGAGAGGCCACAGCAGTGGGAGGCCCGCGTACCGCAAAAAGAACAAAAAACAAAAAAAGGTAATCAACCCTCACAGAATTTCTTATATATGAATTTTTCAAAAGGTACTTTAAAAAAAAAATCACAACATACTCCTTATGTAAAATCATGACATTTTCACTTTACAGATTAAGGAAATGAAGGAAGAAAACCTCTTCAAGGGCAGGTGTCATCCTTCTTCCTTTCCTCCATTATACCATTTGGATTAAATAAAATAATAAAAATAGGAAAAATAAATTTTTTTTAAAATGGGAAGAACTAAGTCAGTTGCGTCTGTTTTTCAAGCTTACCTTCCAAAGTCCTCTTGTTCCCTCTTGCTGGTAAATGTGAATGAAGTTGCCTATCATTCCTCCTTGAAGGGAGCTATTTTGTGCTTGCATCCGAATCTAGAAATTAAAGACTCACGTGAGAAAGAAACTAGCATGTTTCTCCCCAAATGCAGACTTAAAAAGAAAAAAAAATTATTCAATTTGTTGTTTAGTAATCATTAAAAGAAAAAAACTGTAATATAAATATTACTACAATCCTAGTTTAAATTTATCAGGATTGGTTCTTAGGCACTTTAGAATCAACAAAAAGCATCTAGTAGAGTCCAGTCTTGCATGCAGTAGCTTGTTAAGTGTCAAAAAGAAAAATTTTTTAAATAGTCTTTTAAAAAGGAAAGAAAATGGCATATCTCCCTCTAGGTTACTAAGTAGGAAAGAGAGAATATCACGGTTAATTCTAAAGATTTAACATAATTTATGAGTATCCAGTGTACCTGGCAGCACCAAGCATTGGCAAGCACATTTCTTAAATTAGTTACTCCAAGCCCTATTATTTCCAACCAGCCAAACCCTAAGGTACGCAGACGTGCTGGCCAAAGGATGGCCGTGTGATGTCCATCACACTCTGTTACACGGGAACTTACAAGTGAACTTCACAACCGCCATGGAATTCATGACCAATATTCCAACATAAAAATAATGTCTGATGTAGCTCTGCATTTTTAAGAATAAAAATGGACTTCTCACTAAAAATCTGGTACCTTATTTTGGTTTAGGGAGCACATGCATTACCCTCTAATTCTAAAGGGAACTGTTATTGCCAGGCTAACGTGAGAAAACAAAATGCAGGAATTGCCTTTCCATAGCCCTGATATAGCTTTAAGAGGTTAACAGGAGTGCGGATATTTTTCTCTAGCAATTTTACCCCAGCACAGGGTAAACTCAGGGCAAAAGGGCCTGGTACTTCTATTCACACCGTGTGTAACTGTAGTGCACCCAACACCCTGCCGCGTGCAATTCTGATGTTGTCGGAATCTCCTGTTAGATTGAAGGCGGGGTCCTTGCCTGACTCACTTTTGGATTCTAAGCATATAGCACACCAACTGGTGCAAGGGAGAAGCACAGTGAATGCTGCTTAAATAATGGGGGAAAGAAAAAGAATGAGGGAAGGAAAGGAATATTTTGAGAGGGTGTGAACAATAACTCACACCTAATTTTGATTTTCTTTAATTAGTTAGTCCCTTGCCTTATTACAAAAAAGGATTTAAGGAGGCTGTATCCCTGGTATTGTTGACAAGGTCATCTAATGCGTTATGTCTAATTGCAGTTATGTAAATATTTTCATTACTATTTCCTGAAATCAAATTAGTGGAAAACGTAACGTCTTCAGAAACAGTCATCAACAAGCTGCCTAGACTGCTGTAAAACTTGCAGTCCATCTATTTTATTTTATTTTTTACTTTTTGGCTGCATCGTGTGGCTTTTGAGATCTTAGTTCCCCAACCAGGGACTGAACCTGCACTCTCAGCAGTGAAAGCGCCAAGTCCTAACCACTGGACCAACGGGCAATTCCCAACAGCCCATCTGTTTTAATGAACCAATAAAAACAAGGGAGATTTTCAATGAAAAATGAAATTCAAATGCATCTAAGCCTAATTTTCTTTCTTCTGATTAATCACCAAAACCTCCAAAGTCTCCAAAAATGGGCCCTACTTGTGAGCTTATCTGTATCAGTGGGAAATCCACCTAGTGCATGTTTCTGAGTCTTCACGGCACTAAAACTGTAAAGATTCACACATTCATAGTATATGTTATATTCACAGATTTTCATTATCTGAACGTTGATTACAATAAGAAAATGCAGAGTGTGCCTGTAAGACATAGATAGCACTGCTTACTTTCAAAACATCAGTAGGATTAGCAATGGTTGAGGATATGACTCCAGAGAGAATTCCGCAGACCACATTTATCAGAAGGGTTTCATCTGCAAACAAAGACATATTATTTGATTCTTCATACGTACAGGGCTCTTCATATGAGTAACTCACGTACTTCATATGAGTAACTTACACATCACTTGTTCATTTAAGAGACTAAAGAAATACATGCTTAATGAATCAAGTAATTTTCAAAGGATTAGGGATTTTGCTGGCTGAAGGGATTTTGCTTAGCAAAATTTCTTGACACCTAAAAAGGAATGTGAATTATCACACAAGAGTAACCATGTGAATTATCATGGAAATGAACCATAATTCACATTTGCGAGTTAAGTGCAGACCACTGTAATTAAGATGAGGTCGTACACCAACTGGTAGCAGAATAAAAGATACCCTCCTATGAGATAAGGTGGAGATAAAATTTTAAAGCACATCATATATATTTAATTTGAAATATACTGAATGAAGCACTTTTAAAACATCTTTGCTCCTGGCTCACTGCTCTCAGAGAACAGTGACTAGTGCTTATCTCTTTGTAAAAAACACAGAAACGTCTAGGGATTAAAGCAAAGTCAAAGAATCAACCAGCAAGAGAATATCAGAACTCAAAGTTCTTAATACTAAGAAAATGTAGTCACTGCTTTCCTGAAAAATAGGTGATAATTCCTATGACTGTAGAGAATTTTAAGTGGGCTAGAACTACAACAACATACCCTCCAGTCTGGACATTGTGGAAACAAGGACAACTCATTAAGATGTCTGTAAGATTCCTCTGTTACCTCCCTAAATTCAGCTGATATCTGACTTGCTTATTTATATAAGCAAGTATAATTCATTTAGATTTTACACCCAACCCAAAGTCCTCCTCCACAGTAGTTAGTAAAGACACAAATAAGAAAATCGATCCCAAACCACCTGAACAAAAAGACAAACAACCCACCTCCTGTCCGCAAGTGGAAAAAGAATTCCCCACTCACCTTCCGGGCGCTCAACAAATAACCGCTTCAAGCTCTGGTAGGCGCCTATCTTGATGGTGCCATAGGAAGCCTGGCGCAACATCGCAGGAGCAATCCTGCCATACCAACGGACAAAGGGACAAAAATATTCTAAAAAACCACTTAAAATCCTCTAGAAAACACACATAGGAGACGTAATCACGTATCTGCCTTCCACAATCAAACTACACTAAGACAGATTTCTTAAGAGTTTAAAATCCAGCAAAAATATAGGTGGAGGACTTCCCTGGTGGTCCAGCGGTAAAGAATCCGCCTTACAAAGCAGGGGACGTGGGTTTGATCCCTGGTCAGGGAACTAAGATCCCACAGGCTGTGGGGCAACTAAGCTCACGTACCTCAACTAGAGCCCTAGTGCCACAACTACTGAGCTCTCACGCCTCAACTAGAGCCCGTGTGCTGCAAACTACAGAGCTCATGTGCCCTAGAGCCTGCACGCCGCAACTAGAGAGAAGCCCGTGTGCCAAAACGAAAGATCCAGCATGCCTCAACGAAGATCCTGCATGCTGCAACTAAGACCCGACGCAGCCAAAAATAAACAAAACAAATAATAAATAGGGACTTCCCTGGTGGCGCAGTGGTTAAGAATCCGCCTGCCAATGCAGGGGACATGGGTTCAAGCCCTGGTCCGGGAAGATCCCACATGCTACGGAGCAACTAAGCCCATGCGCCACAACTACTGAGCCTGTGCTCTAGAGCCCGCGAGCCACAACTACTGAGCCCGTGTGCCACAACTACTGAGCCCGCGTGCCACAACTACTGAAGCCCACGCACCTAGAGCCCATGCTCCACAACAAGAGAAGCCACCTCAATGACAAGCCTGCCCACTGCAATGAAGAGTAGCCCCAGCTCGCTGCAACTAGAGAAAGCCCACGCACAGCAACAAACACCCAACACAGCCAAAAATAAATAAAAATTAAATTTAAAAAAATAAACAAATAAATAATTAATTTTAAAATATTTTAAGAAAAAAGTTAAAAAAAATTTTTCATAAAGGTAAGTTCTGGGACTTCCCTGGTGGCGCAGTGGATGGGAGTCGGCCTGCCAATGCAGGTGACATGGGTTCGATTACTGGTCCGGGAGGATCCCACGTGCCACAGAACGGCTGGGCCCGTGCGCCACGACTGCTGAGCTTGCGCTCTGGAGCCCATGGGCTGCAGCTGCTGAGCCTGTGTGCCACGGCTGCTGAGGCCCGCGTCCCTAGAGCCTGTGCTCCGCGGCAGGAGAGGCCACCACCACGAGAAGCCCACGCACCGCAATGAAGAGTAGCCCCGGCTCGCCACAACTAGAGAAAGCCCACACACAGCCAAAAATAAATAAATAAAAATTAAAAAAAAAAATAAAGGTGGGTTCTTGGGAATTCCCTGGCAGTCCACTGGTTAGGATTAGGTGCTTTCAATGCCAAGGGCCCAGGTTCAATCCCTGGTCGGGGAACTAAGCTCCCACAAGCCACACAGTGGAGCAAAAATCAAAATATATGTATATGTGTGTGTGTGTGTATGTATATGGGTTCAGTTAAATGTGTGCAAGTTATTAGTTCCCTAAGTGATAGCTCAGCCCCTCATATTTATCCTCAATGAAAACGTACATGAACACCGAGTTCTATTTGTCCGTTTACATTATAATGGGAGGGCTTTCCTTTCTCACGACAAAGCACCTGGTGAGATCTGGCCTCTGTAAGCACCCTCCAGGGTTGCTCTGGAGCTCATCTCCCACCTCCCTGGGGGCTCTGTTCCACTTATTCCCTCTCCCTCCTCCGGGACCCTCCCCACCCCAAAACCACCCTGTGGCATTCATACTCGAAGGCTCTCCTGCCACACTTCCCACCTCCTCAGATTGCAATGCGGCTTCCTTCCACCCTCTTCATCAATAGCCCCCTCACCAAAAGGGGCCCAAGGGACACCTCTGTAGCTAAATTAAATGATGCTTTTCAATCAGCATCTTATAAAGCCTCTCTGTCTTTCCAGTATTTGCTATGGTCCACTCTGTCCTGCTTGCAGCCGTCTCCTCCCTGAGCTGCCATAACTTCACTCTCCAATTCCTCTTCTTTCTCTGCACATCCTACCTCTGTCCTCTGAGGGGCCCAGGAGTTCTGTCCTTCCTCTCTTCTCTCATGGCTCCACACACTACCCAGATGAGCTCATCTACTCGCATGGCTTCAACTGTCCAAAGAGTGATGACTCCTAAATTCATGTTTCCAACACTGATCCCAAGCATTTCCAGCTGCTTCCCAGATTTTTCAATTCACATGTCCTACACCTACCACCAGAGCAAGTGTCTCACACAACTAATGATCCTCCCTCTCTAAACAATCCCCTCTCCTCTTCTGTGTCCTAGACCAAGGAATGGCACCTCCATCTGCACACTGGCCATAACCAGAAAGAGACACTAGCCCGTCTCCTCCTTCCCCACCACCCCTCATGTATGAGGCTGTACACTATGTCGATCCTCTGCCCTAAACAGCCTGCCTTCCTTCTCTCCATCCAAGACAATTCCTCAGGTCAGATCCTTGTCTCTGCTTCCTATGTGTCAGCCTGCTTCCACTGTCACTGTCTCTCTTTCTCCCAATGGCAGGCGGGAATTTTTTTACAACGGAAACCTGATCATGTCAGTCCCTCTACTCAAAACCCTTCAGTGGCTTCTGTCTGCCACAGGTATAGTAAACTCACACACTTACAGGTACCGGGCAGATGCTACGAGCACGTGAAGTGGGCCGAGTCTAATTGCACACCTATGCTATGCGAGTGCCAGAGGTTTGGTAAACCAGAGAAAGCATCCTTAACACCAGTTACTAGTATCATAAGTGACCCAATGTGGGCCCAGATGTTAGCTTTCTTGAGAAGATCGAATGTTTTTTATGTTCAGCTTCTTGCAATTAAAAGACTGGCTCAACTGAAAGACAAAAACCTTCGGGGACCCGTGGGTGGGAGGGCTGTGAGACATCAGTTTGGGATCTGGACCTGGTCCTTCAAGATGAGATCCAGGGCCTCTTAGTCTGGGATTGATGCCCTGCCTCAACCAGAGTCTAGTACTCGGCAGACGCCACTGTAATCCCGTTTGCACATCTGCAGTCCCCACTCAACCACAGTTCCTTCAGGGCAGGGGCTGCTGCCGATTCCCACATGTCCACCCAGATCCAGTCTCGCCCCTCTCCGTGCTGCTCTGTGCCGAGGCTGGCGCCATGGATGACACCACCCGGCTCCCCGGCCAGCTGATTCCAGCCAGTAGAAGATGCGAGAGGGGGAGGGAGGGAGGGAGGGGGAAGAAGTGGAGGTATTTCCTCCTCTCCCTGGGCACTAGCAAGGCATCTCTCAACAACTCCTGTTGGCTCCTTCATGGCTCCAGCCCTAGGAGGCTCTGCTAACATCATTCCTGTCCTTGTCTCTCTGGTCCCAGGGTTGGTAACAATTTCTCACTTTGCTAGTTTCTAGGTAACTCAAAATCCTTTATTCGTTCCCTTAGCCCTTAAGTAGCCCTTTCATTAATCTCCCTTCATTTAAACCACCCGAACGAATTGTTTCCTGCAGGGCCTCTGACTGACATAGGCAGGACCCCGCTTTACTCACTTTCCTAACCAGTGCCTGCAGTACACTGGTCGTTAAATGTTGGATTAAAGAAAAGCTGTTCACTGCAACTCTTACCTATGGAGAATATCATACCATTTTCATTATAGCAAAAACCTCAGTAATTCAGAATAACCCAGGGGAAGGGCTATTAAAACAAATGTAATTTTTGTACTATTATCTGTATTTGAATATAATGAAAACATAGTTTCACCACAACACTCGTTACATTAAAACACATATATAGAAAATAAAGTTGAAATGAAAAATGAAAAAAAAAAAATCATCCATTGCTACTTGCTCTTGAATACACCCCAAACTTGTATTTTTTCTCTATGAAGTCTTAGTGTGAAGTCTGTTCATTTGAAAGCTCAACACTGAAATATAAACACACGAAGGTCTACTTACCCTGAATACAGTGCTTTCAGGCCTTCCTCTCTGCCTATCCTCACTAACGCGTGCAACGTTCCTCGATACCTGATTTCTTTAAAGTTTGCATCATTCTTCTGGCCTTGAATCTGGAGCCGTGTCTTGGTTAAATCAATTGGAAAAGTACCTTAAAATTTTTAAGAAGGAAATGTTTCACTTAATAGAAAGAAATTTCACTAAACAAAGGATACACAGGGATACATTACTGAGGAAACATTCAGACTGTAACGTAAACTAAGAAAGAGAAATAAGAAATGGCAGATACTCTGCCATCTTCCTATTTAAAAAAAAAAAATTAGGAACCAAAAGATTTTTTAAAATCTTTTTAAAAATGCATAACTGTGTTTTCTGTACATTTTTACTTATGTCCCATCTTATTCTACCTAGGATTTGAGGAGGCTGCACTGCTGTCAAAAGTAGGTACATGGAATGATTTACACAAACAGGAAATCCACTTTCAAATATAAGTTACTGGGAACTCCCTGGCAGTCCAGTGGTTAGGACTTGGCACTTTCACTGCTGGGGCCCGGGTTCAACCCCTTGTTGGGGAACTTAGATCCCGCAGGCCGCGCAGTGCAGCCAAGAAATAATAATAAAATAAAATGTAAGTTACTATTTTTCACACATCTGAAGGCTGATACGGGGTTCAACATGAACGGAGATAAATGCGTTTTCTAAAGGAGCTTCTCACCTGTGTGTTACAGCCTAAAAGTGACTCTGTTAATGTAGGTAAAAACGTTTAATGTAGTACCTAAGAGATAGTCTATCCAAACATATAAACCCATACACAGTAACCTTGAGTCATTGTGTCGATGAGTCTACACGGGGAGCCTAAGCCAGTGGTCAGTGGTTAATGTGCCTCAACCCCTCAGCCCTGTTCCCCACTGGCTCCTCAGGGGCAGCCTCTGTCCCAGAACAGCAGCGATTCAGCCCAGCACCTGACACTTGGCAACATCTCAATCAACATGTGTTTTGTTTTGGTTTTGACCACACCACACAGTTTGTGGGATCTTAGTTCCCCAACCAGGGATTGAACCCAGGCGGGCCATGGGGCAGTGAAAGTGCAGAGTCCTAACCACTGATGCCAGGGAATTCCCGTCAATCAACATGCGCTGAATGAATGATCCGGGGAATAAGCAAAGGAACAAATAGGATCTGACTGGAGCTGAGCTGATGAGGAAGTCACCAGCAGGACATGAACAACAGGCATGATTAGAACATGATGGCACGATGACAGTCACTCGCCTCCGGCTCAGGAAGGCCCTGGGGCTCCCTAAACCTCTTTTAAAGCCAAATGTGTTAACAGTGATGAAGCAGGGAAAAAGACAAGGAGAACGGGGACAGATGGCATCCAACAATGATTCATGAAACTTCCGTTTGAGCAACAGGTCCAACTGTCTCCCCACTGAACTTTCAACCCTAAACTGCTAATAAGCAGCCGAAGGCACTATTTTGTCTTAAAAGTATCCCAAAGGAAGAAAGAAGTTTTGAATCCTGAGATTCAGTGTTTCATAATCTCACATTCTCTGCCTGAACTACACTCACACCGTAAGTCTTATGACACCCAACGATCACACCCATAAGTTTCAGCCTCATCACGTGCAGCAGGCAGCTGACTGGCCTCCGCCCTGGGCTCCTTACCGCACTCCGCTGTGATGGAGGCCAGGCCCCCGTACACGAAGGGCTTCCAGTTCAGGGCTGACATGCTCACCGCTGTCCCTTCTCCTTTGTTCACAGACGCATAGCTTCCAACAGGGTTTTTCCTGGACACAAAAGTAAGGTGTTTCAATGCTGTAACTTCCCACACAGGCAGTTTCTTTTTTTCTTTCTTTCTTTTTTTTTTTTTGCGGTACGCGGGCCTCTCACTGTTGTGGCCTCTCCCGTTGCAGAGCACAGGCTCCGGACACGCAGCCTCAGCGGCCATGGCTCACGGGCCCAGCCGCTCCGCGGCATGTGGGATCCTCCCGGACCGGGGCACGAACCCGTGTCCCCTGCATCGGCAGGCGGACTCTCAACCACTGCGCCACCAGGGAAGCCCCAGGCAGTTTCTTCTTTAAGCTCGTGTTTCACTTGGAGTGAGCACTACCAGATGCTACCCCTGAACCCTGCCCCCACCCACACATGCACAGTTCCCAAGATGATCCTCACCTTATAAAGGAAAGCACCCCTATTTCCTAAACCCCAAATCACTTGATCAGTTGCCTTAATTCTAACCCAGGCCTTAAATAAGCCGATATATTGATAACTTGATATGTGTTGATTAGTGTAGTACAATGGAGGTGATTTTCTGGGTAGTCCATGTTATCTTAAATCTGTTCTTCACTTAATAAATATTTGCTATTTGCTTGCCACTGTCTTAGTGAGTCCCTCCCAGGAGGTACTGGAGTCTTTCAGATACACAGAAGCAGAAAAATGTTGCAACCCAGTGTCACAAGCTAAAATGATAACTACTTAAAATGAGCAAAATGTCCCTATAGTTTATAAATGTTAGCTCTCTTCTCTTACTCACATTATGTTACTAGCTGTGAGGCGGCTTGCGATGAAGGAACGAGGCAGACTATGGGGTCAGAGCCTCATCACCTCCTTCTTAGTAAACTTCCTGTTAACCTCTAGGTTTTTAAATTCTCCATCATCATCATCATCATAATTGAAGCAGCCAATACAACCAATAAGGGGTACAGTCCACACCTTTACTCATGCCTACTGTGGAAATTAAATACAGAAAAGACACTCACGGGAGGTGGAGTCAAGATAGTGGTGTGAGAAGACGCAGAGTTGGCATCTCCCCACAACTAGTGCGCCTGCCTGGAGACTCTGATGCTCAAGAAGATGGGAGGGACCCCAAAGTGAACCAGTAGGACGTAGGGGGACTGAGGGGAGAGAAGGAGCAGAGGCCAGACAGGATCGGTGCCCCTGAGACCAGATCAGGAGAGGCAGGTGGGAGGGACTCTCCTGGAGCAGCGGGAGAGTGGAGGGTGATTGCCCTGCCCACTCAGGCCCCGGGAGCCTGCTGAGCTCCCAGGCCAGTACCCCCCACAAAACCCCATCCAGGCCACATGGGTCCTGGGGGCATAGGAGGGAGGCTGGGGAGATCAGGAGAGGCAGGCTCAAGGAGCCATGCAAGAGAAGCGAGAGGAGTGGAGGTCGCCTGCCCGGGTCACTCGGGCCCGGAGAACCTGCGGGGCTCCCAGGTGAGGTCCCCTGCCCTCTGAGACCAGGGCTGGGGGGCACGCCTTGGCCCCTTCTGTTCCCCACAGCCCCCCTTTTCCAGCCCTGTGCGTCCTGAGCATTGGCCCCGCCCAAACCTCGCCCTTGCTTAGGCCCCGCCTCCACAGCCAAGGACTTCCCCCACACTTGCTTTTCTCTTTTCCCTCCTCCTCTTTATTTATTATTATGGTAAAGATGCACCTTCCGGTTGTTGATTCATCTATATTTTTATTTTTATATTCTTCCTAACATGTCTGTTAGTTTCCTAGTCGAATTTTATTTTTCACTTTGGTTTTTCTTTTTGCCACCCCAGGCGGCTTGCGGGACCCTGGTTCACGAGCCCAGAGTTGGGCTGAAGCTCCTGCGGTGGGAGGTCCAAGTCTGAACCACTGGACTAACAGAGAACCTCATACCCCAGGGAATAGTCATCGGAGTGAGGTCTCCCGGAGTTCCTCATCTCAGCACCAAGACCCAGCTCTACCTAACAGCCTACAAACCCTAGTGTTGGAAGCCTCAGCCCAAACACAACCAGTAAGACAGGAACACAATCCCACTCATTTAAAAAAAAAAAAAAAAAGACAGCAAAAAAATATATCACAGATGAAGGAGCAAGGTAAAAACCTACAAGACCAAATAAATGAAGAGGAAATAGGCAATCTACCTGAAAATGAATTCAGAGTAATGAGAATAAAGATGATCCAGAATCTCAGAAATAGAATGGAGGCACAGATGAGAAAATACAAGAAAGTTTAACAAAGATCTAGAAGAACTAAAGAACAAACAAACAGAGATGAACAACACAATAACTGAAGTGAAAAATACACTAGAAGGAACCAATAACAGAATAACTGAGGCAGAACAAATAAGTGAGCTGGAAGACAAAACAGTGGAAATAACTGCCAAGGAGCAGAATAAAGAAAATAGGATGAAAAGAACTGAAGACAGGGCTTCCCTGGTGGCACAGTGGTTGAGAGTCTGCCTGCCGATGCAGGGGACACGGGAGCGTGCCCCGGTCCGGGAAGATCCCACATGCCGCGGAGCAGCTGGGCCCGTGAGCCATGGCCACTGAGCCTGTGCGTCCGGAGCCCGTGCTCTGCAACGGGAGAGGCCACAACAGTGAGAGGCCCGCGTACAGCAAAAAACAAACAAACAAACAAACAAAAACAAATAAACAAAAAAACAAAAAGAACTGAAGACAATCTCAGAGATCTCTGTGACAACACTAAACGCACCAACATTGGAATATAGGGGTCCCAGAAGAAGAAGAGAAAAAGAAAGGATCTGAGAAAATATTTGAAGAGATTATAGTCGAAAACTTCCCTAACATGGGAAAGGAAATAGTCACCCAAGTCCAGGAAGCACAGAGAGTCCCATATAGGATAAACCCTAGGAAAAACACACCAAGACACATTAATCAAACTAACAAAAATTAAATTCAAAGAAAAAATATTAAAAGCAACAAGGGAAAAACAAAAAATAACATACAAAGGAATCCCCATAAAGTTATCAGCTGATTTTTCAGAGGAAACTCTGCAGGCCAGAAGGGAGTGGCAAGATATACTTAAAGTGATGAAAGAGAAAAATCTACAACCAAGATTACTCTACCCATGAAGGATCTCATTCAGATTCAATAAAGAAGTCAAAAGCTTTTCAGACAAGCAAAAGCTAAGAGAATTCAGCACCACCAAACCAGCTTTACAACAAATGCTAAAGAAACTTCTCTAAGCGGGAAACGGAAGAGAAGAAAAAGACACACAAAAACAAACCCAAAACAATTAAGAAAATGGTAAAAGGAACAAACATAGCGATAATAACCTTGAATGTAAATGGATTAAATGTCCCAAAAGACACAGACTGACTGCATGGATACAAAAACAAGACCCAGAAAATTTAAGAAAATTGAAATCGTATCAAGCGTCTTTTCTGACCACAATGCTTTGAGACTGGAAATCAATTACAGGAAAAAAAAAACCGTAAAACCCACAAATAACATGGAAGCTAAACAGTGTGCTACTAAATAACCGAGAGATCAGTGAAGAAATCAAGGAAATAAAAAAATACATAGAAACAAATGACAACGAAAACACGATGACCCAAAACCTATGGGACATAGCAAAAGCAGTTCTAAGAGGGAAGTTTATAGCAATTCAATCTCACATCAAGAAACAAGAAAAATCTCAAATAAACAATCTAACCCTACACTTAAAACAACTAGAGAAAGAAGAACAAAGAAAACCCCAAGTCAGTAGAAGGAAAGAAATCATAAAGATCAGAGCAGAAATAAATGAAACAGAAACAAAGAAAACAAAAGCAAAGATCAATAAAATTGAAACCTGGTTCTTTGAGAAGATAAACAAAATTGATAAACCCTTAGCCAGACTCATCAAGAAAAAAAGGGAGAGGACACAAATCAATAAAATTAGAAATGAAAAAGGAGAAATCACAACTGACACTGCAGAAAGGCCAAGGATTATAAGAGACTACTACAAACAACTATATGCCAATAAAATGGACAACCACGAAGAAATGGACAAATTCTTGGAAAGGTACAATTTTCCAGGACTGAACCAGGAAGAATTAGAAAATATAAACAGACCTATCACAAGTAATGAAATTGAAACCGTAATTAAAAATCTTCCAACAAACAAAAGTCCAGGACCAGATGGCTTCACAGGTGAATTCTATCAAATATTTAGAGAAGAGCTAACACTGATCCTTCTCAAAGTCCTCCAAAATTGCAGAGGGAGAAACACTCCCAAATTCATTTTACGAAGCCACCATCACCCTGATACCAAAACCAGAAAAAGATATCACAAAAAAAGAAAATTACAGACCAATATCACTGATGAACATAGATGCAAAAATCCTCAACAAAATACTAGCACACAGATTCCAACAGCACATTAAAAGGATCATACACCATGATCAAGTGGGATTTATCCCAGGGATGCAAGGATTCTTCAAAATACGCAAATCAATGTGATACACCACATTAACAAATTAAGGAATAAAAACATATGATCTCAATAGATGCAGAAAAAGCTTTTGACAAAATTCAACACACATTTATGATAAAAACTCTCAAGAAAATGGGCACAGAGAGAACCTACCTCAACATAATAAAGGCCATATATGACACATTCACAGTAAGCATCATACTCAATGGTGAAAAACTGAAAGCATTTCCACTATGATCAGGAACAAGACAAGGTTGCCCACTCTCACCACTCTTATTCACCATAGTTTTGGAAGCCCTAGCCACGGCAATCAGAGAAGAAAAAGAAATAAAAGGAATACAAATTGGAAAAGAAGTAAAACTGTCACTGCTTGCTGATGACATGATACTATACATAGAAAATCCTAAAGGTGCTACCAGAAAACTACTAGAACTAATCAATGAATTTGGTAAGGCTGCAGGAAACAAAATTAATGCACAGAAATCTCTGGCATTCCTATACACCAACAGCGAAAAATCAGGAAGAGAAATTAAGGAAACACTCCCATTTACCACTGCAACAAAAAGAATAAAATACCTAGGAATAAACCTGCCTA